ATTTTACTTTAGTGTAAATTATAATTTTCTTGAAATTTAGTAATGTAGACTAACTTCTTTCATCCTTCCTTCCTCCCTCCCTCCCTCCCTCCCTCTCAGATCTGCTTAGCACTGATGTGTGCAGAAATCAGAAGGGTCTGGAGAATTAACCATAGGTCTGTTCATGATGCAGAGGCCAGTGTGGTGAGGCTCCATTCCACGCAGAATTGTTTACTATCTCCTGCCAATAACCCTATCTGGTTAGACCTCACCTGGGACACCTGGCATTCTTGGGGGCAGGACCAGAGGTGCTCTTGGAAAGAGAGAGAACTAAACCGCTGGCTCGAGGGGCCTGAGAAGGGGACTTACCATGTAACCGTGCGTGAACCTTGAAGCTCAGATCCTGGAAATGGGCTCGATCTCTGAAGGCCTGAGTAGTGAGTTTAGATTTAATTTAATTTTTAATTAATTAATTAATTTTTGGGCTTTTCAAGACAGGGTTTCTCTGTGTAGTTTTGGTGCCTGTCTTGGAACTTACTCTGTAGACCAGGCTGGCCTCGAACTCACAGATATCTGCCTGGCTCTGCCTCCCGAGTGCTGGTATTAAAGGTGTGTGCCACCACTACCCGGCGAGTTTTGATTTTAAATATTTTGTTTTTAAGTCAAAAATCTTACAGGCTGGCCTGAAATTCTAGATAATTCTCCTGCTTCAGCCTACCACGTACAAGTGCCAGGATTATGACGTGAACCAAATACCTAGCTTCAAACTGTACACATACTAGGTCCTTTAAAGAGATTGCCATGCAGACTCTTCATCACCCTACATCTTATTCCAGATGTTTCCCCCAGGATGTTACTCAGAAAATTCTAATTAAAGCTTGGGGGAAATTCTAGGCCAGTCAGGGCTACACAACAAGGTCTTGTTTAAAAATAAAATAAAGTCACCGGGGGAAGGAAAAAGGCACCTGATTCTCTCCTAAGCCATCCCATCCCAGTTTTGGAGACAGGCTTTTATTTGAGGAGCAGCTGGGGTGTCTGTAGAAACCAGGAGGTAAGTTAGACAAAACAAGCGTGGCCCAGAGAGATCACGGAGCCTACACAGGGATCGGCCTCATCTCAAAGCGGTCCTTTCAGAGAGGGGCCGTCACCCCTAGGCCTAGATCCCAGAGGCACCATGTCCTCCCAGAACTTGGCTTCCAGCCTGAGGCCTCTCCCAGCAGGGCCTCAGGAACAAAAGCTGCCTGACAATGAATGCCAGTCCTGCATTTTTGTGGGGTTTTTTGCACTAAAGTAAACTGATGCCCAAACGGGAATTAAGTCAGACTAGGGCCAGGCAGGACCCTTCATGGCTGCCGCTTGTTTCTGGGGAACAGCCTGTCTTCAGCAAAGCCAGCCAGGGGATTAAAACCAGTCCTGGCTCAGGCTGCTGGCTTGTGCCCATGTCCATGGCACCTTGAAGTCTCCAGCCTCCAGGGTTCCAGGTTGTTCTCTGTTAAATAGTGTAGAGGATCTGCCTCCCTGTCCAATCAGATCTCTTCTTTCCTTTATCTGTATTCATGCCAACAAAAGGCTTTAAAAAATAGAATTTTGTCCTTTGAGTATCTGAAGATTAAGGTCCTTGTTTCCAAAGGACATTGAAAGGAGTCTGCCATCTTCAGTAAAGAAGGGAAAGGTAGGTGGCACTGCCAGCAATGCCAGCGCTTGGGAGATGGAGACATAGGGATAGGGAATTCACGAAGTGAAGGCCATCCTTGACTCCCTAGAGAGTGTGAGATCAGTCTGGGCTACATGGGACCTTGTCTTGTCTTCTTTTCTTTTCTTTCTTTCTTTTTCTTTTCTTTTCTTTTCTTTTCTTCTTCTTCTTCTTTTTTTTTTTTTT